CAAAGGTGTTGTAATTCTGGTTGCCATCTTGCTTTCTTACGATTTTCGTGTTGTTTTAGTTGCATGCCATTGTTTCTGATGTCTCACATTTGTTAGGCTGGGGGAAGAACACATGCCTCGATTCGGATGTGTGTGCGGCCACTTTTGGCAACACCTCAGGTTTTGGTTAAAGTCGTGATGGCTGAATAGGTCTGATAGCTTCTCCAGATATTGTGGTGCATCGGGCCTGCATTTTTTATGGCTTTACACATTATGTATGGCCACTATTGAAAATGACTTTACAATCGCAGGATCTTAGGTTCAACAAAATTAATTTTGAATGTTTTTTAAGCTAGTTTATTTGCATACTGCCCTGTAATTTATTCAGCGCTTTTCATGTAAACAAGGATCTGTTTGAAACTATATTTGCTTTGCATAAAATGTAGAATTTTGTGTGTAGGAAAGTTTCAATATAAAAAAGGGAGTTGGCAAGTTTACTGACTACATTACATCCGTAAAATGTCGATACCTCTTTTTGTGATCTCCGTACTTTCTTGCCGCTATTTTCACCTGCAGTATTGTGTCTTTCTAGATTTTGTTCCCTGTGTTGATTGTTCAACATTTTCTTTTGTACAATACACTCCTGCCTATGGCTGTAAAGCAAGTTGGCAGTGTGCAATAATTAAATGTTTATATTTAATTGTACTGTGGTTGATGCATTGCAAGCCACACCAATAATTAAATGTTTATATTTAATTGTACTGTGGGTGGAGCATTGCAAGCCACGCCAGTAGCACAGTCATGGAGGTCTGACTCTGCTCAATTCTTTGTGCAGTTGATCTTCATCTGTAACACTTTCTATGAATTACTATTTCATGCTCAATAACTATTTCATCAGTAACTTGTACATGTAAGGCCACCTTAAAGGGATGCTGAGCAAAATTTGTGCCGCTAAGATTTTCCGCTAAATCTAGAGATTTGGTCCTGATATTGATAGCCACAACCTTTATTTCGCGCAGAAACTACAGGAAAATAGTGAAGTTAGTGCGTTTTTGACAAACTGTCGCATCTAACGGCCACACTGTGAACTGGAGGAAGTTATTGTTGTTGATGTTATGCACGTAATGAGCAAGCCAAGAATGCCAGCTGTCACACTCGTCTCTTGACCTACTCAGTTTTCCTACGGTTCGCAGAACCATTTTGAACAATACCGCTATTGAACAGTGCTCCTGGCTGGGGTGAAGCAGCAGCGCTTTTGTGAATGGGGGGAGAGTGGGATGGAAAGAGAGGTAGGGAAGAGGACAGGAACACGTGCACCCCTGCATGCCTTTTGGCAGTTGTGATGTCACGACTCGTGCTCGTGTGCAATTCTCGGGTGATAGCGATCTGTCAGAAATAAAGCCAACTGTTCAAAAATACGAGAAATTAGCTGTTTATTGGAACAGTCACATCTTTAGAGTAGAATTATGAAGGTTTTGTGAGTTTTTCCAACTTCTGTTCAGTAGTCCCGCCGCAGTGGTCTAGTGGCTAAGGTACGTGGGATCGAATCACAGCTTAGGCGGCTACATTTTTGATAGATGCGAAAATGCTGTAGGCCCGTGTGCTCAGATTTGGGCGCACATTAAAAAATCTTACATGCTCGAAATTTTCAGAGCTACCCACAATGGCATCTCTCACACTTACATGGTGGTTTTGGGACGTTAAACCCTACATATCAATCAATTATTCAACTTGTGTTCAGTATGCCTTCAAAGGGCCAGTAAACAGGCTTTGGCTTTTTTTTTTTTTCACATGCCACAAGCAAGCTTGCTAACTTGTACGGTAAATCATGTTAATCACATTTTCCTAATATTACAGTGTCACGCAAACTTTCCATTTCGAAAAACCATCCCACACCCGTTTCCTTCGCCTGAGCAATCCTCCTCATACCCACAGTTATGAAACTTAACCACGGGCAACTTTACATACTACTGAGCCCGTCAATTGGTTCTTTTCCCTACGAAACAGGGCCTTCGCCCTGTGGTGATGCTGTTTCGGCCGCGCAGTCCACATTTTCATTTTCCTGTGCTGCCCTCTGCCAAATTGTAGAACCCCAGACTACCGGGAGAAGCGGTACGGGAACGAAAGCTTTCGAGATGAAGAGGCACCTCGCTGCTTGACCACTAGGGGAGGGCTGCTCCTGCTACGACACGTCCGAAACACCCTGCTCGATTGTTGGCTGCATGCTGATGACGTATCGCTGACGTCTTGTCACGTTGCCAAAGTGGGCGTAGCCATGACAACGGGCTATACCTTTCCCCTCCCTATGGCAGAGCAGGGTGGCGAGGCCGTGCAATGATTTGAAACCAGCTGAAACGGATGTTCTAATCCCTGAACTTCCTTATTTTAGCCAAGCATTCGCAAAATATTTAAAGCAGCATGTTCGCATATAAAATGTGCACATGTTTCACTTCATAAGAATTTTTGGACCTCGGGGTTGTTTACTGGCTCTTTGCGGTCCATTGTTGGGCCGTGGTTTGTGGTTTAAGTTGCGTGGTTCTCTCACTGTGAGTTGCACACATTTTTTGTATACATCAAGTGCCATTTCTTGAGGAATAAGTGAGCTTTGCTTGTTGAGGTTTACTTTTGTGTTACACTAGGATGCGGCACTATGTTCAGCAGGGCTACTGGAGCCTAGAGCGCACCCACTCGCGTGCGGTTCGCTGATAATTGTGTCTCTGTTAATATCATGTGTGATTTGTGGTGGGGCTTTTAGTGAAAGCGATAATGACTAATAAAGAAGAGAAGTACTTGCCACCGTCAGATAGTGATGACAGTGGTTCGACAAAAACAAGAAACGGCATTTCTGTTGACACGAGGTATGCATTTTGTAGTAAGATGATGAAATGGCACTGCAAACTTTTTCTGTGGCTTCTGGAAGTTATATTTGCAACAGTTGCGTTTTAAGGTGCACGCAGCTGCAGAATTATGGGCAGAACGAACGACACCTGCAGCACCGCCGCAACCCCATCCAACAGCTTGTGGGTGACGTAAGGGCTCAAGTCCGAAACCGGGATGTGTCTGCACAGCAGTGCGAAAAAAGGCTCGATGGAAAGAGCCATTTCATCTACAAGGTTCCCAGGCCGACGCAGCAAGGACTGTGATGTTTGTAGCTATAAGCAAACACAAGAAGGCAGCAGGAAAACTTTGTTTTTCTGTAAGACCTGCAGTAACAACCCTGGCCTGCACACAGGAGAATGCTTTGAGGGTATTACAAGCTGCCCAAATATTTTTAAAGGTATTGCCTGCTGAATGCAGGAGCGAAAATAAATATTCTGCTAGTTTTTCTACCATTGTTTGTGTTTTCTGTGCGGCACCAAAAACTGTCAATAGTTTCGGACTGGTACAGACGAAAGTGGGTAAAAGTTTTGGACCTCAAAGAGTTAAATGGCATATTATTTGCGCTCAGTAAAGGTCCCAATATGCACTGAGCCCGTTTTTGTTTTGTGTGCAAGTATTGCTGATCACAGCAGTGTCACTTCACGTGTTAGCTGGTAAACACTATGATACGGAACATCTCCCATCTAACAACTGTAATATTTGCAGCATAGATGGTGAAATCCTAAGTGTTGCATTAAATTACATCTTTTGTATCCATAGCTCTTCTTTTTTTTTTTTTCTATAGAGAGCACTAGGTTTTTGCTGCATGTGCTAGCGTCAAAGTCTGGCATTTTTGTAGTTTTGTCTTTTGTATGCAAAGCAAAGCATATATAAGGAATAAAACATGCATGATTTTGGACTGTGTAGTCATTCTGAGACACAGAAGTCTGGTACGGCTCTTGCAAAATGAGGAATGTGTTGATATAGCTACACTAAGTCACGTTGGTGTGATATAAAACGTGTTTCTCTAGATGTTCTGCTTGGGAATGCATACAGTGTTACCAAATTGACAATGTTGTTTTGTAAGTAACCAATGTAGCTTTGAGCACTCATTAAACATACACATTAACATAAGCAATAGAGTAAAAAAATAAGACAGAAAAGGCAACATCTATGTAATGAGCTGACCTCATAGTAGAAAAGTGTCATACTTCGGGCAAAAACAAGACCACCTACTGGACAGTTGAGAAACTTCAGCTAGCTGGAGTGATGAGGCATTGTGACAAGTGATGTGATGTGGCTTCCAAAGAGTTAAGTTGGCACTAGCTTTCGAAGGCTTTAAGGAGACTGAAGCCTTGCTGCAAGGTGTTAGTGGTGCCGAGTGCCAATGACCACATGAAGCTCTTAGCTTGAACTTGTGGACCACATTGCGCAGATTGACACTTGATGGTCACTTGACTACGTCAGACACAAACTTCATCTCTTTCCTTCTCCTCCCTCATACGCACGACTCTTCGTTTTTGCTACTCTCTTGTCCAACTCTTGCTGCGCTCATGCATTTTTGTATGTGCACCGCAGTCGTCTCTTTTTCCCTACTGGCACGTCACGCAAAAGTACTATCACTCTTCTGCGTGCACATCAAAATGGTCAAACATTAACAAGATGTCTGCAATGCTTTCCAAGAAATACTTTAAATCTACACATACGGTGACATCACAACAGAAAAGAGAGACAGACCTTTCTGTCATGTGAGCTTGGCACCTGCGTACTCAGGTGCCATAATTTTAGTGATTATGCCTCTCTCTCTCCCCCCCCCCCTTTTTTTTTCCTTTGTAGTTGTGTGCCAGTGGCCAACTGGCATCTCTTATTTTGCACTGGTAATGCGGGAAATACGACTGTTAAAGGTAGATGAGTGATGCTAAGGTGAATAGAGGGGAGGGCACGTGAGAAAGTGTCTTCATGGGCATTGTCCATATTTTGCTGTCTTGCTACATTGTGTTCTCATAAGTGTAGCTGCACTAGTTGCTTGTAAGGGAAGGAGCTGAAAAAACAAGGAAATGCCATTCAAGCATGTTTTTATAGTAACTTGCGTGGCAGTCCTCTGATAACATTGCAGTGCAATGCTGATGGTGGCAGTGCACTGTTATTTTTCCTCTGTGCAGGTGGTGGACTTGAATAAAGCGTCGGAGCAGCTAGGTGTACAGAAGCGGCGCATCTACGACATCACAAACGTTCTCGAGGGAGTGGGCCTCATCGAGAAAAAGTCCAAAAACAACATTCGGTGGAGGGAGGGACGAGGGGCGGCCACCCTCAATGGAAGCCGGCAGCGCATGCTGCAGCAGGAAATCGATGAGTACATCAAAGTGGAACGCGAGCTGGACGCGCTGCTAGATAGCGCAGTGTCTGACTTGCGAGGCATCGCTGAAAATGTTGATCGAAGATATCCTTTCCTGCTGTTGATCATGTCAGCTGTTGCTCAGTTCTTTGGTGGCCGTTCAAAACATGAAAATTGTGCAAACAGTTTTTTGGTGGCAGCTGCTATGGCAGCACGTAAGTGCTGTGTTTGTATGTTGAAACTGTGTCACATTTTCAGCTTCTCACATTTCTATTCGCAATGATGCTCCACCTGAACACTGATTTGTGTTTAAATAGCTAAGTGGAGGCTTGCCACAAAGCTGTTCTTTGTTTGTACATGTCGGCCCTCTTGTGTGCCTGTCAGAGCATACAGGTCAGTTGGCCTGTTTGCCCCACAAATTTGCTGAAGATGGGTCACAAATCCATCAGTTGCAGTTTTATTAAACAAGCTGTTGAAAAACAAGTGCTCTGTTTGAGTATGCTGAAGATGGGTCACAAATCCATCAGTTGCAGTTTTATTAAACAAGCTGTTGAAAAACAAGCGCTCTGTTTGAGTAGGTGCAGCGGGAAGCAAAGCATGGTTTAGGAGACCAGGTTAGTGGGCTGGGGCTCTACTTTGTGGACGCTTGTGCTATCTGGCATAGTAAACTGCCGGGCTATGCAGGGTGAGGCTAATGTAAGGCCTTTGTTCTTCACTGGGCATAATACAGGCTGATAGCGATATAATGCTTGGTGTTTGCACACAGGGAGAGCATAAAATGTTTTAATAAAAATGCTCCTTGGCCTCTCCTTATCTCATCCCAAACTCTGTTCCACATTTATCGCATTAATTAGGAGTGCATGTTGTCTCTCCTTCTCTCTGACCATTTTGCTTATCTTGTGCTGCAAGATAAATTTCTCTTGTACGGCGTGTAGCATCCTGTGTTGCTCAATTTAGTTTATTAACTGCAATGACCTGTAAAGAATTTTGTGGAAGTGTGATGTGGGCATTTTCAGAATAGGCTACAGAATTTTCAATTTAAATTTGTATGCAGTAACATACGTTTGGAATATTCGCACAAGCTTAATGTCTACTGCTGGGATATGTCTGGTTACCATTGCTTGGCCTCATAAAAGCTTTTAGCATAAAGTGGAAAAGCCAGTGAAAAGAATGCTGCTGCAGTAATTGTTTGACAACCTTCAGGCTTGAGTTATTCCTTTAGATCTGTGTGAATATTAAAGAAGTGGGCAGTAGCAAGAAAAACTGATGGTAGAGAGAGTTCTTGTATCACATGTCACTTTGTGAAAGCAGTGCGTTGATTAGGCCTTAACACGTAAGTGCACGTATGCTTATGTTACGTATCGTGACCTGCGAAGCATCAGCAGCCTGGCTGACCAGACGGTGATAGCAGTCAAGGCGCCTCCTGAGACACGGCTAGAAGTGCCTGATCCCCACAAGGTAAGCCTCCTGGAGCTCGGCTCAAAAGTTCATGTGTCAAATCTTTAGCTGAGTGTTCTTTCTGTCGTCCACTAGAAGAAAAATCGGGGAACTGGGGTGGCTCAGCTGGTGAAGTTTTGCTGCATTAAGCTTGAAGCATCAGGTTCTATTTTCAGCCATGACTTCCGAGTTTTGATGAAATTGTAGTAAATAAAAAAAGTCTCTGTATTTTGGTATAGGTGCACAACAGTCAGTCTCGGGTGGTCAAAGTTAAAGGGACCCACAACTGATATTTATGGTACCTGTTTTCTTGAGTGCAACGGAAAGCTTAGCTGTCAGAGCTTGTAATCATGGAATGGTAACGTGGAAAACACCATAGAACATTATAATCTGAATTTTTCAATTCGCAGCAATTCTGCAGTCTTAAAAAGACATGCTGCAAACAGTGGATGTGATCGCGATAGCGATTATATGCCAGTGTATAACGCCAGCTGTGAGGAAAAGTGAAGCTCCAAGTACAAACACGTAAGGTTGTGTTTGTCAAGCCTGCAGTCCCGCAACCACTGTTTTCTAGCGGCTAAATTACATTACAAAAGTTATGGCACTTTCCCGGGGCTTCTTATGCAAGTAAATCTGGCCGTGCACAAGTAGTTTTTTTTACTTTAGCCAAGTCGAGCCAAGACAAGTCTTCGAAAACGAAACTGCATGTTTACACTCTATTGACAATTCACGCATAGTAGTTCACGTTCGGCCGTAGTTTGTCGGCTTCGATGCCATCGCTTGACAACTCGAAGGAGTTAGAGGAACGAATTTTGGTTTGCATGCTAGCACGAAATTAGGACCCCTATCAAGTAGCGCCAGAGCGACATTTTTCGATAGACGATAGCGGTAGCCACGAATCTGACGGGCCGCCACCATCGCCACCACCAGCCGCACGCATGAAGCGATTCCCCACAGAGCAGTACGCTGACGGCATTTCGCGTGCCGCAACGATTGCATACAACAGCTGGCTTGCTTCTTGAACGCGCCCGACGCGACGGGAATTCAACTACTGTGGAAACGCCGCGCGCATGCACAGCTGGACCTAGGGTGGCTCGATGTGCGTGAACGAGCATCGAGGCACTCTAGGTGCACCCGTTTCCCTGCAGAGGCCACGAAAGCAGCGCCACTTTTCATGCTGTATTTCTTTTACCTTGTAAGCCACATAGAAACAAACTAAAATGAACAATAACTACATATTCGAAATGTAAGCCCTTATTCCAGTGCGCTCTAAATAATCACAACAAAGTTATTAGGACGTCATAATTGTGTTTTATGGCTCTGACGCTTGGGGCGCGACATGCCGTTCTTGGTTACTTTTGAACGCTATATAAATATATAAATCCTACTCAGATCGCAAAAAGTATGCTGTCACCTGTCGCTATAATTCATGCTCTTTTATTTTACACCTGAATCTGATTACCCATTGAGGCCAGTTGTGGGTCCCTTTAATCAGAAGTCCCCGTTATGGCACGCCTCATTATCATTGGGGTTCTTGCATATGAAATTCGGGTCATCATTTGATTATAGCTGTTAATATCCTGCACTGCCCTTGTGAAGATGCTTCGGCCACAACTTGGATTTCTCTTTAGTAGCACATGAGGAAGGGCCATAATGTGTTGCATATGCGACATGACGGTCAACACTGACGCCTTGTGGCAAAGCTGAACCTGAAGGCAGAATGTTCAATATAGAAGTCGCGGGTTTCGTGACATGAATTCCGCATCAGTGAATACTAGTAGGTCCATTTGCTTAAGAGGACTCGTGAGCATGAATAGAGACTTCTCTGAAGTCAGTCACACAGCAGTTTGCCGAAAGCTTTATTAGTTATCAGCAGTGCCGGACGCCAAACTTGGGTGGTTCGCGTTTCTTCGTTATGCAGCAGGCAAATATTTCGCCAGCAGCGCTGCTGAGTGCCTCTTTGGGTGCGTGTGAAAAAAAGGAAAATTTACACTCTGATGCTAAGCAAAGTTGGCAAAAGTGCATAAAATACAATTATAAGTTATACATTTTTTTTTTTTCAAGCAAGGTAACTTTACCTGCAAGAGTTTTTGCTTTTGCTAATAGCAACCATATCACTATTGGGTGACACTAGCAGTCGTGCTTTCCCAGCTTTCAGAGCCAAGCTAAAAATATTTTTTTTTTTTTTGACAAAAGCATGCTCATTGCCGCCAATGTGACGAACGGTCTCATTCTTACAAGACTCAAAAAATTTCTTTTGGGTCGTTGACAGTGTCATTAAGAAGTAAACACAGTAATTCCTAATTTTGTTTTTTCTGTAATGATAACTTGCTAAAAGCTCCATTTTCACGGCTGGAAATCTTATTTGCTCAAAGATGCGACGGGTATATTTGGAAATGGGTATAAAGAATGAAAGTGCCATACAACTGATGCAGTTGTTCACAAGAAGTCAGGCTATATGCATGACAGCCATCCACATTTGGTATGCGGCTGAAAGCACTAAATTTAGGAACCTGATAAAAAGTATACAAAGGAGTACCAGAGATTCCTATTGGTATCAGCATAGATATGTCAAAAATTGACTCTACAACCCGCTGGATGAAGTCTTAGAAGCAGAACAAATATTTTTGGTAGAACAGTGAACCGAAATCAAAACTAAACAGCACGTACAAGGCAAGCTAGGAATGACTTACCGCAGTCAGTATGGAAAAGAGTTGATAATGTGAAAAATTTGGGACTGTTTTAGTAGCAAGTCTACCCAAGAACTTGCATTTAGGATAGGACAAGGTTAGATGCATGAATAGAGCTAAGAAAGTTGCGCACAGCTGTGGATGAGGCAAATGAGCCACTCTCGCAGATGCGGCCGATTACCCAAATAGAAATAACTGCATGACAGTAGTTCGATGTCACACCTTAAAACTCCTTACAAGAATGTCAGCTTCGAACGTTCCGAAACAATAGAGGACGTAGCCATTGCACTTGCACTGGTCTCCACAAGTGCTCAATGCATCATTAGCAGTTCTTAGGCAGTCATTAGAAGTATGCAAAGGGTAGGGCAGGATCCTTCACAAGGCGTGGCATGTGGTCAGCAAATGAAAATTAACCAATTCAGAGAACATGCAGTTGCTGTGGTTCCCAGTGCATACAACTCTACGCATTCCTGCTCTCAACTCCAACAAAGATGTGTACCATGAATCTTGCGGCCTTGCATGCCGAGCTGAGCAAGGAGTGACTTCCATCAGTTGGAGATCTAAAGAAACAAAGGTGGTTTGACGGGATTAGAGATATGTACAAGTTCTATCAAAATAGGCAAATATAATGACTGTCTCGCATATAGCTTGACAGAGACAAATGTGTTGCCTGGAGGCAATTACAAACAGAAAGCCGTTCTACAAACCTAAAGACTTTTTACAATGAGATATATGTGCATACCTTTCAACTGTTCCGATTTTTTCTTACAATGTACGAATTTCGACCGGGCTTACGATATTACAAATCTTGCCTGAAGTTTTACGAAAAATATTTCATTTGTGATAAAAAATATAAATTAAGTAAAATAGCGTGGCCTTGGCGATTGGCAACGGTGAATTGCTGTAGCTAGTTGCAAAGGCCACAAAAACAGCGTTGTGCTCTATTTCGCCACCAGGATAGAACAAGATGTATTGGTGTTATCATCATCACATACCTGCCAAGTCTCTTGCATTATCCAGGAGACTGCTGGATTTCGACCATTTCTTTCGTTTGTACGGTTGGCATGAAAAATCACCCGGAAATCGAAATTTGTGTGGGAAATCTGGCTGCATTGACAAAAATGCAGGTCAGTCCATTCCAGGCTTTTTGCGAGCCCACCACATTTTATTATAAGCGAATTTGAGAGGCGTTCATCTAAACGTGCTGTAGAGCCCCAGTGATGCAAAACCGCGGCAGGTACGAATTTGTAAAATTTCCCAGCCAAATTTATGTGTCCATTGGGCCAAAATTCGAATGTTTTGAACATTTTTCCTAATCACGGCGTGTGATATAGTATATCCTAATTCACTCTATGTGATTTCAACTTTAGTACTGAAACCGTCGAATGAAGACCGATCGAGAGCAGTGTGCTTGAAGCTTTGGAAGTACATGTGCGACCAGTGCACATACTGTCTTTTACAGTGCGTGTCGTTGCCACAACCGCTGTGGACGAAACCATGGTCGTTCGACGCGATCATGTATGGTGGCAACGTTACTGACAGAACTCCAAAAGAATGTGTGCAGCCAAAGCTCAACCAGTCAAAGCAACGCTGCTTTCCACGAACTGTGGAAAAAACTGTGGCAGTTGCGATCCTGGATAGCATAAAATGACTTAGTTTTGAAGGCACATGGATTGGAAACAAAACTACCGGTTGCGGTAACCACCACGCACAAAACCGCGGTCGCGACAATAGCGATCAACAAGCTCTGAGGGCACGTGGCTGATGCAGCTGTAGATTAATGGGGGGGACACGGGTCTTAGAATGGTGAAAAATGGCCAAAAAGTTGATTTTGAGAAAATGCGATATTTGAAATGTTTAGATCTATAAGCACGTGTCCTCAAATTGTGAACGCTGAATTCGATCAGTAAATGGATTAAAATTGATTATGAAGTCACCACTGTTGCCGCAAAACAACCCACGGCAGGTCAAATTCGTTCAAACTTCCCGCGCGCGCCGCCGGCGAGGCAGTCGGCTGGTCACAGCCATCTTTGGCTTGTTTTGCAGCTGATTTCTTTGTGCGCATTTTGGCACCCTTCAAAATGGCATCGCTTAAACAGAACGGGTGCCCTCGCCCCTTTTCCGGAACCCCCTTCCGGGCCGCTGATTGGCCGGAGAGCGCGCTCACCAGGCGAGCCCCCTGTTCCTGGCTTCCCATTGGCTGATGCGGCCGAAGTTGCCCGCGCTTTTTTTTGTATATTGTTCGGCGGCCGCCGGTTCCCGTTCGCGCACGTTGTTCGTCTGCTTCACGCACGTGCCTGCTTGTGCTACGCTACCGACGCATCGACTTTC